TGTGTCTAGCGTTGTTGGGGGGGGGTTGGGGGGTGGGGGGGGAGGTTAGCAAGGCAAGCAGCTGCATAAGGGAGCCTGCAGCACTGCTCAGTGCTCTTGAGCAGCAGGGTTTACTCTCCTGCATGGCATGTGTTGCTCCTGCTAGGGTATGGGAGATGGTGGCATTGCAGCTGCCTGCATCAGTCAGTCCAGCAGGACTTGTGGCTTTCCACAGCTCGGAAAAAAACTGTTGCTTGTGATTTTTAGAGTAGTTTCAGCGTGTTCTGAGCTGCTGAGGATGAAGAGAGCACCAGCTGGCTGTGATTTGCATAAGAATTAATCACTGATTTTTTCCTCTTTGTGAAAGCTGAGTGCCTCTCTTCTAGCGTGTAGTTGTAAAGCACTTGCTAGGAATGGAGACAACATAGTAGAACATACTTTTAAAACTTCTTCCTGAATGATGTCTTCTTTCTTTTGCTTGAATTTATTTGCTGCTTAAAATGCTTGACGCCCATAATGTAGCTCCGATTTAAAGTGTCTTGTATTATATTGATAATATCAGCCAGATTTTTAAAGTATGAACTGGGAGCTATGCATTTGAAATTAGATTCTTATCTGTCAAGTTTTTTTATTTCTCGATTATCAATCTCCTGAGATAAATCTTAAATTATAAAATCGAATTTTTTACTTAGCTCAAAACCCATTATATTTATGTAAAGGTTCCTGTCAAAGTATACCTATAAAATTTATTGCAGTCACTCAAAATGTTTAGCCCAAATGAAAGTTGATAACACTTAGATTTATTTGTGTAAATCATTATTATTATCTTTATTTATAGTCTTCTAAGAATATTGAGTTTTCTTTAAAATGAGCAACTTAGTTGAATTAGTCTCCAGAAAATCAATGCAGCCGGTAAAAATCAATCCTTTCATTTTGATGGAGTCTTTCAAGCATTTTACTGTGCATCCTTCTTTCATTCATGGGAACTACTTTGAAGCTTCAAGCTATTCTAGTCTTCTCCATGGCTGCTCAGAATCACTTTTTTTCTAAGTAACATTGAAAATTGATTAGTTTTCTTCTTAAAACTAAGACAACATGCATTCGTTTATTTACACATGAATAGCTACACCTAGACAATGTCAAAAACCTGCCTGCAATAAGTCAGCGAGAACTTTCCTGATTATTAGATGAGGGTTAAGGTGGGGACTTTAATGCCTGTGTGGTTTTCTGCAGAAGCAGCAGTGGAGTGTGGTGAGTTGAGCCCATAATTCTAGACACTTATGCTCATTTACTGACATCTTTCTAGCCCCTCGGTAGATGTGTCAGAAGCTCAGCCAGGGGAGAAAAAAAAAATGAAAACTTCATGTATTGTATGTCTACTTGGATCCACCTGCTGCAGCACACTTACATTGTTGATTTTAAGACTTATTTGGTGATCTCTTATTCCCTCATTCAGGTCTGGCATTTCAGACCCAAATTCAAAAAAAATGGCATTTCCCTTGAAAGGAAAGCTATTGGAAGTGTGAACTAAAAGTACCAAAAATTATTAGACAATTCAAAAAAATAAAATCCTAAGATTGTATACTTTTATGTAGCACTACAAAAAATATTGTTTAGAACTGGTTGCTTTTGATGAGCAGGCCTGTATCTCACAGAAGCTTGGAACATAATCGCACTCGTTCATATGTAAATACATTTCATTATTAAAGATTTTATTTACTTTATTTGTGAGATCAATGATATTTTCAACATAAAGAATTGTGTAAAGTAGAGAATTTTTGATATATCATTTCAAAAAATACCAAATTACTTCTCCACAGGTAACATTTAGTACCCATTAATAACTGTGAATGGTTCTGTTCTTCCTATGCCTGTAAGGCGCTGGACTTCCAAGCAACATTGACTATATTCTTGTCTTCCCTTGCCATGCCTTTTGATAGTTTCAAGGACAGCGTGGAGAAATCGTCGTCTTATTCCGACTGGCTAATAAATAACAGCATTGCTGAACTCGTAGCTTCCACAGGTCTCCCCGTGAACATCAGTGATGCCTATCAGGATCCTCGCTTTGATGCTGAAGTAAGAGATTTTTAGAAATTTAAAAATACATCATATTTTTAGCACTGCAACTAATATAACACCATTTTATCATTATATCCAAGTGTCTGTAAAATGTGAATATTTATTTTGAATTGGTTTTTTTTCTATCCAGTATGTCCTCCTGGTCTGCTGGTGTTGACATGGCTTTATACAGTAAACACAGGCCACTGAATTAGTGTATGACTTTATGCGGTTACTTAGTCTGTCTATGACAGTGATACCTTCCTCTGACAAATGCTTTGATATTTATGCAAACTGATTTTTTACTACCGAAAATTCAACTGTTGGTGTTCAGTGTTAGCAGCACCATCATTGTTAGTTGCTGGGATGACTGGGACTGTACACATACAGAGTGTAATCAGAACCAGTATCCGAAGAGACGAATGTTGGTGATTTAACTTAGCCAACTAACCTTTTAATTTGCAAAATAAAATATACAGTCTGGATTAGTTATTTCTCCAAGATGCATACCACTCCTAATAAAAGTTGGGTTTGTATCCTAAGGTTTTCATTCCAGCCTCAGTTAGGAAGGTGTAGATACAGTCAAAAACATATACGTATACTTGACACCTGAATGAATGTCAGAGACATATGGAAGGACAAAATCTTCACTGAATTCTATCCAGTGAATTAGTATTACTATGGGGTACTTGGCCAGCAGTTGGGCAGCACATTAATCGGTGGACAGCCTTGGTCAGCAAGTTTGCTAAACCACATTACTCAGTAAGTGTGCTTGGAACTGTTTCATGTTGAGAGTTTGCTTAGGTCCAGTTTCATTCCATGTGTCATTAAAGGGATTATCTCTCAAACCAGCAGAATTTGTTAAAACAAGAAAAATAATAGGGGCCTGCTGTGAAACTGTACAAGAAAACTGTTGATACTAATTTGCTCAGAATTTTAAAAAATACAATTAATGCCTGGGGTTGATTTCTTGCCAAAGAGAGATGCTAAAGTAAAACATGCCTGTCCCTGATATTTTTGCAGTTGTATTTTTAATGTATCATGCCCTAATTAATTCAGCTATCTCTTATTTGCTTCACAGTCCTTTCTGAGTTAGAGGCACTGCCCAATTTATAAAGAGAAAAAAGAAATCACTTAATAAAAAGGGCAGTAATTCTATTCTGTTGGTAGGTTCCTATGAAAATTTAATTCTCAAATTCAGTTGTGACAATTATTTCTACAGTCAAGTGTAGTAAGAAGAACACATGAACCCTTATGACTTAGAATCATACATATCTGTAGTTATTAACAGATACTCTGTTATCTTGTTCTCTGCTTCTATTAAAAAGTCTCTTCCTCCCTCCCCCCCCCCCCCCCCCCCAGAACACTAATTGTCATTTTCAAATGTTGATGCTCAGTTTTCAATTCATTCAACAACAAATTTAATGCCAAAGTATTTTCACAGAGTTCATATTTGAAGTTATAAATCTGAGGCAACTTTTCTCTCACACCCATGGATTTTTGGTGGCACTCTGTGCTGATTTCAGTAATGAGTTCTGAATATGTACAAATAAGCAGTACTGTAGTTAAAACCTGAGTTACATCTTTTGCTAGCTGGGAGATCATAGTGATCCCATCCTATCTCCAGTATATGAATTACTGCTGGTCTAGTACTTTTATTCCATTACAAGTTGCCTGTAGCACTGGCAATTTTAGTAAGAGAACACCTCCTGGTTTCCTGTGAATGGGTTCATCCCATTCTCTAAGCTCTTCTGAAAAAATACAATCTTTTCTTCAGATTTTGCAGCAATGAGCCTAAAGAATAAAGCTTATTAACTGTAGGAAAGATAATCTGTGACGCTTACAATAGATTTCAAAGTTTTATACTATATTAGATAGAAAACAACAAATGGGGCAGAAAATACTTTTCAAAACTACAGGATCAATTAAACCTACATAGAAAATATAAAATCTTGGGTTTGATCCCATTCCTCCCTAGCTTGCATTTCTGCGCAATTCAGTACTTACTCTTGCCTTTCTTCTGAAAATGTGTATCTCTTGTAAGCTGCCCTTTGTAGCTAAATCCAATTTCAGTTTGACAACTGGGAAGGGTATTTCTAAGGCTCAGTTATTCCATGGAGGTTGACTCAGTACAACACTGTAAGTAATCCAGGAATTGACTGGTCATTGCCTCAATTGCAGTTTGCCTTTAATTCCAAATCAAATTCAGGTAGTGTAAGATTTCTGTGGCAAAGATGGCAATGTTTGTATTTTCTTTGATAATTTTTAGAATAATCCTTATGTTTCTTGGTTATTCTTACTCTGAATGAGGTTTCAGCAGAGGTTTTTTTCTGGGTGAAAGCTGATCCATATTGGAAAGACATTTGTAAGTGTAAACTTACTCCTTGACACTTCTACTACTAGAATGTAAAAGGCTGTAGATGATACCTGCCCTAACGGGAGCTCTTCTTTCTATGTTTCAGGCTGACCAGATTTCTGGCTTTCACATAAGGTCTGTTTTGTGTGTTCCTATATGGAATAGCAACCACCAAATAATTGGTGAGACATTCCTCTTAGCACATCTTTTTTTTTCTTTTTCTTTTTTTTTTTTTTTGCTGATGTAAATTTAGTTCTGTGCTTTTGCTTCTATGTTCCTTTTTCATGTTCTTTTCCCAGCTAAATGTTGTTAAGAAGTTGCAGTACCTAGCATGCATGCTAAGTATCCAAGAAGGGATGTTTTGATTCGGGTACTCTATGGACTTAAGCTTTCTCCCTGTGCCATTGTTCAGTTATATGTTGTATTGAAACTTGAAGGTTAATGAGATGAAAACGGAAATTCTAACAATATTAGTGAAAAATGTTTTATATGGTTCGATACTTCTCTGGGCTCTCCCTTTTTTGCACCCAACTCAGACAACTGTTTCTGCAGTCAGGCAAAGTGGACATTTCCCTCTTTGAAGATAAATGGCAGTCAGGAAAGTCCTACCAGAGAGTCTGTGGCAGCTCAGAGTTGCCTGTGGCAGTGGTGTGTGCTGGATCAGGAAATGACAGAGTTTTATTGCTTGTTTGATATGATGCTTCCCAGCTGTGATACACCTGCAATTTGCCCTGTGTTATTACCTGCTTTTGGCACAAGAAGAATCACCATTTGTAAAAAACAGCACCAGATTCATCAGTTAACTTTCCACAGTAGAATTCAAGTCAGAGCAATAGCAATTCAAACTGGCAGGGCAAGATTTACATCCCTGCATACTGCGGCTGTCAGTGAGAGCTGAGATCAGTAGTGCATTGCTGAAGGCACTCAGTGCCATGCAGGATCAGGGTCTTTGAGCTCATTCAGCAGAGATGATGGGGGAATTGAGTCTTTTGAAAATATGGCTCATTGTTTGCTCTGAAGTGTGTATTACCTCAAAAAAATAGAAAGAAACTGAACCCTTGACTGCTGATAGATCTTACAGTATTTTTCTAAGGGCATATTGTAACAAAACGAAATAGAAATGTGGAACTCAATTTTAGTTCAGTGAGAGACAAGAGCTTTGAACACTTTAAGTGGTTTAAGGAAAATTTTTTCAATAGTTTGGTAAATTTATGGACCAGTCATGAGGAAAAAAAAAGGACTTAAATACACAGGTGGTGCTAAACCAACTAAGATTTTAGGAATGAAGATATTGATTCACCAAATTATATTGGTAACTCCAAATTGCTAGGACAACTTACATGATTGCCGTTAGCAACGTGCTCAGGTTCTTTCCCAAAGAGATCTTTAACCTTTTGTGAAAAGTGTTGAGAGTAACTTTTAGATTTGAATTATTATACTTGGAGTGTAAAGAATAAAAATTTAAAGTAATAAACTGAGTCCTGGTATTAACACAATCAGACTTTGGCATATTTATGTCTGTTTATTGATTTTGAGAACAAATATTTGCAGTATTGCTTTTCAGTTTGAAAGATGTATTTTAAATGTTACCAATGAATAAAAATATTCTGCATTGTGAATAATGAATGAAGATTATAATTTATATTAACTCTTTCTAAAGGGGTAGCTCAAGTGTTGAACAGGCTTGATGGGAAACCCTTTGACGACGCCGACCAGCGACTGTTTGAAGTAAGAGGCATTCAATTTTGTAGCCAC